TTATACCCATATTAATAATAATATTGTCACATTGAATTGTTTAAGATTCAGGGTTATAAATCTATACTCAGATTAATTTATATTTATACAATTAGTATTACTGTAATCTGCCAGTTAGGCACATAATTACAGATGTAACTGAGTGGGAACATGTAATCAATAAATATATCAATTTAATCTTAAATACCTAGGTTTTTTTATTGTTGCAATTAGGATTACACTAGGAGACCTGCAGTTCAATTTCCATCGCATTCTTGTTCTGCTTCAACCTACTAAATACGTCTCTTCCTGATGTGGAAGGTCCCTGCAGATATGTCCTACATGCTTTTTCACAACTGCTTCACCTAGAGCAGTTAGACATCATAATAATACTTAAATGTCCCTAAACTTGAACACTGGCATCAAAATCCCACCTATATCCAAGATAGCAATCCACAGAGTTTCTTCTTGCAGCATTTAAAACTCACCGGGTGCTGCTCTACTCAGTTTGAAACATTTCTCCCAATGATCCTTACTCTGGTTGCCCTCATCTGAATTACCTTTTAGAGGTACCCTAATCTCACCATTACCTGTAGAGGAAGCACTTAGCAGTTGGTTCTAAACCTAAGGGATATCAGTGCGCCTAAACGTAGTTCAGATATCTAACTTAGGCACCTGTGTAACTCAGAGAATCCCCACGCTAAATGCACCTCTTGCATAATGGGCAAAAATGGGTATAAAGTGCAAAAATGGACTTTTACTTTAATAGAAACTCAAACTGTTAGTTAACTGCAAGACATGGAAGTCAATCATTTTCAGTTACAACCAATCGATCACCTTCCTTCTTCACATGAGACTCTTCGCTTGATACTAAGGTCTATTTCTTCTAATATGCCTGTACAATGAATGGGAACCTTAGATCCCCTAATGCTGGATTCCGGATTACACAGCAAACTGGATTTTTTTATCCGATTCAGACAAATTTTTTTCTGCATTAACTACTGTTTTACTGCACAGGTAACTGACTTCAGCACACTTTATGAAAAGTAAAATGGAAAATGGGGTAGAAAATGCCAGAAGAAGATAGTATTTTTGACTCTTACCGAAATAAAGTGCGTTTTTCTAAGCGCAGGTCCCGAGACTCCAAGATGCTACTGTCTTGGTGCAACACAAGTGGCTACAGAGCACATGTCAAGTGCAAAAGAAGAGAGAGTAAATTAATTTTTAAATATGTAAAAAAGAACAGCAAAGTGGTTCAAAATTTTTTCAGATAACTCAGACAATTATTAATTAGGTTGTATGCTTTCTAGTGGATACTCATTTACAATATGCAACATGATTAAAGTATATTTTATTTTGCCTAGTTGTGAGACAATGACCAAACTTCAACTTCCACTGGAGTCAGCAGGTATTTAGGAACTTTAAAACAAGCCTAAGTCTTTCAACTTAAATAAATTATTACATAGAATGATGCATTAGAAAAATATGGCAAATTAACAGTCTTTAAAAGCTTTAAAAGAACAGGCACTAACTATGCACATTCATTGATTTTTTTGTCATTGCAATCATCTAGATTTATTGTCTGAAATTTGTGCTTATGATCAATGTTCCACATCCACAGCTTCTCTTTGAATTGCAGATACTTCTGTTGGAACAAGAGCCATCACCTCCATTAATGTGGACTGCAGACTTGGAAACTTTCCTCAATATTAAAACACGTACCTTAATTCCAGTATGAATTCATCTCATTCACCTTTGAACAACTGCATATCATTATGTTTCTTTACTTTAATGAAGTACCATCTACTACAACACATTTGTTTTCTTTGTGGATACTTTCAATTAAGTACAAGCTAACCATTCCCCTGGACAAACTACATGGACTGGATACATACATTAACTTATTACTGTAAGAAAATCATTGTCATAAGCTCTTTTTGCTTCCTGTGATGTAGCTATCACAACCAATCACAGTACTCCATCAGTTCTAGTTTCACTAAAATTCTCCTTCAATTAATTGAAGCATTGTCAACGTAAAGCTATAGGTGGAACCAAGCGATACATATTACTATTAAGAGAATAGAATTCCTTATTAGTAAAACGAGTATGAAAACACTCCAAAAAAAGCACAGTAATATGCAATACCTTATCACCTCCAACTAAAAAAAGGTCCACTGCAGCTATGTTAATGCCATGTTTCTCACAGAGTCCAGATAGCACCTCTTTGATAGAGAATCCAGATTTAACAGCCATTTTGCTGGATGAACCATCCGGAAGGTTTATACAACAGTATTTGGGGGATTTCTCTTTATCTGGTACAAATGCAGGTAATCTTGAGGCTTCAGACTTGACAGGAAAAAGAAAGAAAAGTCAGCGCCCAATGATAAAATCAGGAATATACATAAACTTTCAGAGTTTGTACAAATCAAACCAAGCCAAGCAGCATACTTTCTACCATGTTTACAGTTTAGAAATCCTTCCATATATCACAAATATCAGATAAATTTAAATCCTGAAAAAAAACCCATGTTTAAAGATAACAGCACTGCACAAATCTAAATGTATTTCAAGAACAGATGAAGTTTTAGACAGCAAGTGTATAAAACAGGTTACAAGATTCTCAAACTATACAACAGAACTTCTAATCAAAAAATGTAAGAAGTAAATAAAATCTTATTTAGCTTCCAAATAGTTAAGTGCATATACTCAATAATGACCTGCTGATGTAAAAATTACCATTGGCATATTATTAATTAACATTTAAGTGATGAGGAATACCTTCAAACATCAGGTTCCTCAAATAAAATTTCCTCTTCTTTCAACATAACCTGAATGCTACACACTCAAATGCACCACAGAGAAATTAAGATTTTTAAAATAATTCACTTAATGACCATGCGCTTTTTTGTTGTTAAAGGGAACAAAAAGTACAACATTATGGGTTAAAGCTAAAGTGCACAGTAGCAGTAGAATGCTAACACTACTATGAAATATCAAAAGTTTCTCTGAAAATGTAACATAAAGCTTACTTATAACTTAAAAGGACACTACAAAAGTACTGTTTTCAGCAGTCTTTTAGGGTACTCGTGCTTTTTCTTTTCTCTAACTTGCTGCTTCTCATCTAAATCACAGTAACTTTCTGACCAATCAGATGGTGTGGGACAGAAAAGAGGGGCTGTTGTTCTAGGGAGGCTTTGCATTTTCTATTTTTTTAAGATAAGACTTTTCTGCAACAGAAATAAACATGACTTTGCCATGCTTACTTCCCTGGTCGATATTTGTAGCATAGGCAAAATTACATAGTTGCTAGAATCTAGCCTACTCAAGGGATATCAAGACAAAAAAAAAAAAATCACTTGTAAAAATTTCCTTTTTATATTCTTCCTCCATATCAATGTAGTTAAAATAAATTTAAAGTATTACATTAATACTGTTTTAATTTTGCATTTCATTAGTTTTACACTGCAAAGGTAGAACTTGATGGTTAGAAATCACAATGTATTCACTGATTATTTTCCTACATACTATAACAAAATCACAGTGTTTGAAATTAAATTCCCTACCTCTCTTTTCTCAGATTTTAGGAGCAGAGTTAAGTCATAATGACAAGAAAAACTCACAACTTTAAAAGAAATGGAGAGGAAAGAAGTATGACAGAAATCGGTACCACAGAAATCAGCCTAACACAACTTGTATACAGGTCAAGCAGAGGGAGGGCTTTAACATGTGGTTGTTCAGATCAGAAACTCAAAGCTCTGGTAGGTGGAAAAAGCTGTTTATAAAGAGCTACAGTAGCTCCCTTTGAAAGGTAAACTTTTATTTTGGAAGTTTACTGGTGCCTGAAGTTAAGATAGACAAGATGCAAAGGATACCCTTTGTCCTTTTGTCCTACAAGGACAAAATAAGCAGCTGTATATGAACACAACTTCTATTATATTTCTAGTATTCTAAAATTGCTTAATATTACATCTTGCCATCTACCTGTATCACTTAAATACCCTTTCTCAAAGTATTAGTCCAAGCAAATTACTTCACGCTACTTAGAAAATTAGTAATTCACTGTTTTCACTGCTTCCCCATTTCTTCATTATTAATAGCCAGCCATTACCAAGTCAAGACTAGCAGTTGATGACATGGAGCCTTGTGATTCCCGTCTGTATGATAATCCATTGGACTGAATAGAATCTGTTTGTGGAAGAAAAATCAGTTAAAAGAGTTATTTTTATTATTTATTATAATACAGAAAGCTATTTCAAATACTAGCTCCTCTGGTCAGAAAAATATTCTTTTTCATTAAAGGAAAAAACACTAAATCTTCATATTGTGCACTGAAACATGGAAAACCAAAACAGTATTTGGTCAAGTACTTCTTGGTTATCCAACCCTTGAATAACCCCACTTAGTTTTAAATATTAAAAAAAAAAAATTTTTTTTAATCTTAAAATCTTTTTTAAAATTTAAAAATTATTCTACCTCTTCAGATATTTTGAAGGAAGATAAATATTTTTTAAAGTGCAAGTATGGTGTTAGAAAAGTAAAATCTAAGACAATCACTAGTCACTTTCAGAAGTTTAAGTCTATAATCTCAGCAAATGCCTCTGATGTCTTTTCACATATGAGTACAATGAGAACACTTCAACTATCAATATGATCAAAGATATCTTGTGAGTCTAGGCCTTTACTAGAAAATTGAGAAGAAGAAACCACAGTAACAATATGGTCCAAATTTGGTGCTTCAGTGGAATTTCTCTATTATTTTTAACTCAATGGAATGAGTGAATGCAAAACTTTGATCTCTTCCTCTAGAGGCCATGCACAGGCGCTTTCATAGGGGAACTCCTCCTTAAACTCTCAAAACCAGTTAAGGAACAAGACAGCTGATTACAAGGGTTTTCACAACTCTGACTCTTCTTTTTTCATATTGATCAGGAAAGGTGGAAACAGGTAGTGAGTGTGTTCAAAAGTGAACATACCTGTGTGGTACTAATAAAAGAAAGAAAGGTAGGATAATGCAAATGGAGGAATTTTTAAATAGCTGTAACTAGAGCACTATTTGCATATACAGCTCCTGAACTTCTCTGTAAAGAGTTGAAATTATCTTACTATAAAAATAGTAGCTCTCTGCTTGAAAAAGCAATTGCCAGCACACAGAAATATAGAGTCTACTGGAAAGCAGAAAAAAAGTCTCTTGGAAGTCAATAAAACCAAATTCAAATATTTTCATACGTTTATCTATTTATTTGTACATCTGATTCCACAAAACTTCCAGTGATACTAGCCATGCTATGGCCTTCTGACTTGACAGTTTCTTTTCTCTGTGTCACACCCAAGGACGCACTTAGATGCAAACTAAACATGATGAAATTAGTCACATCTATTGCTCAAACAACTATGCAACAAAGTGGAATGTGAATACTCACCATTTGGATAATCACCATTTTCTTTTCTTTTCTGTGATTTTCCCAAACTCTTACTTCTTGACCATGAGAAAAAAGTTCCCCTTTTTTTCTTCTCAGTGTCCTCCTCTCCCGACTCTTCATTTAAAGACCTTCCTGACTTTGATTTACCACTCAACTATCACCAAAACACAATTAAATCATTGGTTGGATCACAGTTTTAAGTATATAATCTAAAATAAACCTTCCCACACTTCTTCCCAAAACAAGAGCATGATGGTCAGGTTAGCCTTTACCGTATATGCCAGCACACCCCTCAGTAGCAATCAGAAAAAAAAAAAAAGAAAAAAAACAAAACACAAAAAAAAG